GTGCCCCTGTATTTGATTGCATTCCAGCACATTGATGTGCCTCAAAGAGTTTGGACAGGTTTGGGTGCATCCACGGGGCAGTGAACCCTTCAGTAAACTTTTCACGGGAGTCTAAACTCAAAATTGCCTTCAACAAGGCATTGGATGCAAAAATATATCGTGGATTACTTTATTATGAAGGTGATATTTGCCTTGCGCTCTGCAAATACCAGAGCCTGCATCAGATCGTGGTTACCTCTCAGTCCATAAATTGTATATTCAAACGGGCGTGTCAGTGTCCTGACAAAGAAGAATATTGCAGTACATATGGTTGGGCTCACAACACTTGCGGACTATGCTGCAGGTGTTGAAGCGCGTTTTAATCTTTCAAAGACCCTAGAGCTGCTGTTCTGATTCAGAACGCGGCCCGGATAGCAGTGTTTATGTCGTAGCCCGCGTCTCACCCGGATGGCGGTCAGAGACAAGGAACAAAACTCCCGAATCCTTGCACTAACAAATGGACAAATAGTTGCAGACCCCATCTTAACAAGCAGAGCTCTGGCCCGCGGAAAGGATCAATGGAGAGCCTACACAAATGATTACCCGGTTGACAGCATTCGCAGTCGGAGACGGAGGCGAATATTGATCAGCGAGGCAAACCTAGATTGTGCGATTACTCAACCGGCTTTGGACGGGTCACCTCGGACCTTGACCCAGACCGCAGCCTTAGAAAGCCAACGTAATAGGTCTACTGTCAGCTTAGAGATGGTAATGATTCCGGGTTCATGAAAAATTTACATTTGCTGTGAGACCATCTGAAAGAAGGCTTCTTTCTTGGTAGTCGGCACCTCACGAACTCCCCGTAAGGATCACAAGAATGACACGACCCATCGTACGTCAGCGACGCTGACAGATTGCGGAGAATTCGGCAGGCTGAACGGCCCCAGCTGTCTGTCTGCTTACCAGCTTCTTGCTGTTCTTCCTGTAAACACCGGATTAATTCCCCGAGCATAAGAACTGGGATGGACGAAGTTACTACCGCACACATCTACCTATGCCCCGCCGACACATTCTGACACTGCTCGCACCGGCGTGGGGCCACGCTCTCCCCTACATCCATCTGACCACGCGCATGCTGGCCCAGGATCCAGAGCTGGTCGTCACCATCGTGCAGCACAATTTGATTGGTGGGGCGTACAAATTGCGACGAGGCATCCTCTGATATCCAATCCAGTGCCGAAAATGCTGAAGGAGCTGGGTGGCTGCACCTATGATCAGAGCAGGCTCACGATCGAGGCTGTTGGCGACGAAGAGTATGTTGGTTTGGCGCCGCTCTTGTTTTCTTCACGTGTAAATATGATCGTCAACGCGCAGAATGAAATTCACACAGGCACTCATCGGTACAGTCTTAGAGGAACTGGGTGGTAAGTGGCTAGAGACTCTCACAAAGGCTGTCGGCGGCGCTGGGGAATCCGCCTGGCCCAGGCCCTACACTGTCCATGTGCGTTCTGACCAGAGTGGACGGCCGTTTTCATTCCCAGTCACCGGCGCTGATCTGAGCACAGATGGATTTCTTCGGAGCCGGGTTCGTCGCTGCTCCCACGAAAGCCTTGCTGGGACCCGGAGGCAAGATTGTGATGTGGGGTTCTTGCGGAGTCAACGCTATTCCGGACCACTTCAGCGACTATAACTTTACCGACATCACGCGGGAAATATACGCGGACGAGTCGCGCCGTGGGGGCAGGTCGATGGAGGACATTCTCGATGATGTGCGGCCTCATTCTCGGTAGAATGTCGGCGAGCTGACCCACCGGCTCCGGGGCAGGTTACATCCGCATGGAACGGCAGCGACAAACTCGACGGGCGCACAATCAAGATCGTTGGTTCATTGGAGATGTACGACCACGAGCACGTGGCACGCGGTGCCGGCGGTCCTCATGGGCTAGGCTCTGTGCTTTCCTCTGCACAGGATTGCACCCGGATTGCAGATGCTATTCTCTGTCCTACCAGCAGTGCGATGGAACCCATCGCGGCCCAGTTCTGTCGAGAGTATTATCACAAACGCGGTCAGGAGCTCTTCCTTGTGGGCCCGCAGATGCACGAAAGGGACTGGAGCACCCGGTCGGCGGGTCCTGGCCCGAGCGAGGAGCGAATCAAAACTTTCCTAGACAACGCACGGGAAGAGTTTGGACCGGGTTCCGTGCTGTATATCTCATTTGGGTGCGTTTCTGCACGCTCTGTCGAGGCATTCGGACTGAATCAGGGCGTGGTTCAAGTTCCCTCTTCTTCCCGCTTGCCACTCCGCACCTCGTTGAGGTCATGGTGGACGTCCTTCTTAAGTTAGAAACCCCTCTTCCGTTTGTGTTCGTTCTTGCGGGAGCGATGGCCTCTCTGCCTCAGGACACTATCGATCGAATACACGCCAGCGGGCGAGGTCTAGTGTGCGATTTCTGGGTCGATCAGAAGGCGATCGTGCAGTGCGGCACAGTCGGATGGTTCTTGACCCACGGCGGTTACAAGTCAGCTTTATATCTCTTTTCGGCATTGGAAGAACTAATCAGACTCTTACCGCAGCTCGTTGACGGAGTCCCTAAGCCAAGGAATTCCACTTATCTTCTGGCCCGTCGGGGCAGAACAGGCCGTCAACGCTGCGATGCTTTCAACTGGACCCATTCCAATTGGTATCGAACTCTTTCAAGTGAGCACTGATAATGGGCTCGTTTCTCCCTCAGTCCTATAACTCACGGGCACAGATTCGAGCTGGAGAGCAGCTGGGACCGTCGCTTCGTTCCGATGCACCAAAAAATATCACTGGCACAGTCGAAGACGCACGAGTTGAATTCGAGCAGACTTTCGAAGCCCTCAAGGGCGCTCGAGGGAAGAAACTGCGGCAGAATGCGATCCACATCGCGGATTTGTGGCGGGAGGAGCGGAAGGATGGAGAGCCAGCACGTGATATTGCGAAGCTGATAGAATTCTGAGCGAAGTCTCGATATCAATTACGGAATGACATAGATGTATACAGCTCCTTCTTTACCTCTATTTCCAGTGAATTCCCGCGAAAGCGTGATTTTTAGGCTGCGCACATTCATGATATTCTCAGCCCAGGATGTCGGCATAGGGATGCTGTTCAACAGGACCACAACCGGGAAGCCCGTTGTGCATACCATTGTGACAGACCCTCGCTTGGTGCAGGTCATTGCCATCCCCTTTGATTGCATTCCCGCACGTTGATGTGCCTCAAAGAGTTTGGAGAGGTTTGGGTGCATGATTCTGACAAATTACTCGATTTGAGCTAGTACATGACACACATCTTATGCAGTAACGCAGATGCACAACCCCCCTCTAAGGCCCCATAATCGGTTGAAAAACCTTGGAGGGTTGACAGCATCTGCGGCAGATGCTCCAAAGGTGTTGTTGCTCGACAATAGAATACATTGGGATTCATTGGCTCTTGAGACGGGGACACTGTAGACTCCGTACAAAAAAACAAAGACTACATGCCCCTCACTGCATTTCCGCGCTCAAACGTACCGAACGGTCACAGAGCTGCCGGACGCGCTGACGGACGTAAGCACGCTGTTCTGCTCAATGTCAAGCAGCTGCGCGCCACTCGGTCCGACCGTTCCACCCGACGCGAGCGTCGCCCTGGCGTTCGTGAACGTCACAGTGCCGAAGTTGGCGAACGGCACGAGCGAGTTGCCCTGCTCAAAGTCCTCGACGATCCACTCCGCGTTCTCCCCACACAGTCTGCCGCTGCCCGAGAGCGTCTTGGACACGCTGCGGCCGGTGGACTCGTTCGTGATCGACACATGGCCGGAAGTCGATGACGTCTTGGTCGCGACGAGGGTGATCACGTCGCCCGCGCTGACGGAGAACCCGGAGAAGTCGCTCGCAAACGCGGGGTAGAACTCGTACCAGGCTGTTCATGACTTCAGATCGGGGTGCAAAAGATCGGATGCCAACAAACAAACGCACCATCGAACGAGACGCGGCCGTTGTCGACGTTGAAGTCGATGCCAGTCTGCATGATGCCGCTCGAGCAGGTGTCGCCGTCGATGCCGACCCACGCCGAGGCCGCGGAGCTGCCCGACCCGCCGGCAGAGCGGGGCGTCGGGACGGTGAACGTGCCGGTGACGGACGTGTACGTGCCCGAGGGGCTCTCGAGGCTGGCGCCGGCCCAGTTCTGGCTGTACGCGACGTGGGAGGTCACGTTGGAGATCAAATTCGCGTGCGGGCCCTCGGTCGGGAGACGCGGGCCGGACATGCGGCGGCGGGCCTGGCGGCCTTCGACGTTGCTGCGCGGAGCGGCGAGGGCGGCGGCGGCGAGGAGGAGCGAGACGAGGGCAGAGGCGAAGACCATTTTGAATGTTGCTTGTGCGAGAAGCTGGGAGGATACCGAGATGGGACCTTGGGACTCCTACCCTGGAGAACGTCCGCATTTTATACGAGTGTGGTTGTCGATGGCGCTCTTCGCGTCATATGCTCGGTCGCTCGCGTTGAACTGGATAGACGCCACGGCCCAGCGCATGAGCATGTGAAATCTCCCCCCGCATGCACCAGCACGCGCGTCGAGTCGCGATGGTCGTTCCTATTCCATGATTCAGCGGGATAGAACTCGGAGACAGACAACCAGGCCCCACGCTTTGCGCCCGAGAGTTGCCACGGGCCCCATATCCGCGGTGCCGAAGGAGATGGCGCCAGTCAAGAAGGGACCCATATCGCTCGCAACACATGAGAATGGCCCATGAACGTGGTTCAGAACGGCGTGCTCGAGAAGTTGAGCGGCCACCCAAGTTCTTGGAAGATGAGAAGAGGCTTCGTTCCTTTTCTCAACTGATCCGAACTGCTCCGCCTTCTTTGGTTACGCGGTCACATGCTCTCATGATACACGCTATCTCGCAGGAAGAACGGACAGTACGAGGAGCTGTAGTTCATCTGGAGCTCAACAGTTTCAGCGTGTCCATCTCTCGTTCTCCGATTTCGTTCTCGGTGCAGTCCGTCTCAACTGCGTGCACAAGTCAGCAGAACGGACATTCATATGAACTTACGAGAGTATAGTTCCCGCGCAGGTTCGAAGCTTGGAGCCACAAGCATGAGAACGACACGCGCCATTCATTGATAGGCGCTTTTGAGAAGAGCCGCGCGATAAGCACGCGAAACACAACATCCAACTACTCATAATAATCCAACGGGAAGCCCAAGACTGCGCACTGCTTCTGTTCCAGCCACGCACTGCTCCGACTCGGCCAATCCAGGATCCTGACGGGCTTTGCGCTCTGCACGGGCAGCCAACTGCCCCATTGAGCCAGAGCGTTCTTCGTCCCGGCAAACGACCTGGCGTCGAGGAACGCAGGGTCTGGATTCGGGTCATGCGTCCGAGCGAAAGATGCCCAGCTGTCCAGCGCGAGCTGCTCGAATGGCAGATCGAATGCGTCACGGAAGGGGAACCCGGGCGTCGATTGGCCGATGTTGCCGAACACGAAATACAGCTCACCCGAATGACATCTGAACAAGATGTGTGAGCGTTCGGCTTCAATAAACGAGAATGAACACAATCTCACTTGAAGTAGGGGAGAGACGGGTCCCCAAAGGGGTGAGCGGCCGTGCCGGGTGGATCGCACACACCGGGAATAGGCTCGTAGCCCATATAGCTTCTATCGAACTGATATGCCCAGACCGACTCGAACACCTTGTGCAGTGCAGCTGAGTGCAATGTTGCTTGGTCAAGACAGCTGGTGAGAGCGTTGAGTGAAGAGACCTCGACAGCAGTAGCATAAGGAAATACCTGAATTCACCGTCTGTGGCGATCCTGCTCGTGACGTTCAGCACGTCGAGCGTCGCGTTGCCGGACGTGTATGTCGGAAATTGCCCCGAGGCAAGAATGGCTGAGCTGGTGTTTGCCGGCAGACTAGAACCCGGATGAGCAGATGAATACAGGCGGAGGAGGATGGAGCTTCACCCGATAGCTTCGACAGATGACAGCTGAGATTCTCCTGGACCAGGATATCCGCCCGCAAAGTCAGTGCCGTCGTCGGCCATCCAGCCAAACATGACATGCACATTCGGTGCGATCGGGCCCTTCCCATCGACGGAGAGCCTGTCACGGACGAGGTAATGCCCATCCACGACGAGATATCTAGGTGTGTTCCTGGTCAATAAGTCGACTAGGGACGAAGATCAAACGCAAACCTGGGGGAATCCGGAGCGTTCTGCAGGGTCTGCCAGCTGACACCCCGCAAACAAGTCAGAGTCGCGTTCGCCGTCGCGTTCGCACATCCCATCTCGGAGACGAAAGCCGATGCCGCTGCAGCCACTTCCTCCTTGATCGTGTAGTACTCCGAATACGTTTTCGCGTATGCAAAGCCTGCCAGGTTGCTCTGCGCGATGGCACCCGAGAACAGGCCGAACGCCGGCGGAGATCCCAGCAGGGCGCGGACTGCACCCGCCCCGGCGCTTTGCCCGAAGATGGTGATCCGGCTGGGGTCTCCGCCGAAAGCTGAGATGTACTTCTGCACCCATTTCAGCGCGGTGATCATGTCTGCGAGTCCGTAGTTGCCGTTTGTCACTCCGTCGTCGAGCGCGAGGAATCCCAGAGCGCCGAGTCTTGGGTGGGCTATTCAGCATAGAATGGAGGATGAGGAATGGGAATGGCACTTGCCTGTAGTTCACAGAGACCAGCACGACATCTCCACGACTTGCCAAGCTTCCCCCATCGTTGTCAGAGGTGGGCGCCGCCCCGCCCGTGAACGCTCCTCCGTGGATCCAGAACATGACCGGCTTCAAAGCGGTGGAGGAGTGATTCGGCTTTGCCGGAATGAAAGGCGTGAATACATTGAGGGAGAGACAGTCTTCAGCGCCAGTACCTCCGTTTTGGGCGCACGGAGAGCCCATTTCGAGGGCTGTGATCTCCGACGGACCGGTGTACAGGGATGAATATGTCCAGCGTTGCGTCGGATTCGCGAACGGGATGCCCAGGAAACGAAACGACACGTGGTCCCGTGTGCTTGTGGATAATGAAATCATTTTGAATCATGCAATGCCAGCGAGGAACGCACCCGGTTATTGACAAGTCCCCTGCGTTCACGTTCACTTGCCAAGTGCTGCTGAGATCGGTTTGCCCTAAGATCCTGTTTGGCGCCGAGTTCTTGCACAAAACGGGTAACTTCTGGGAGCAGGGAGTCGTTTGTAGACCCGCCGGGCTGATCGTCGTGCAGGAGGAACCGGAGCCTGCGACCCAATACTTCTGTGCCGTCGATTTCTTTTGGGAGTAGGCCACGTATGATAACAGCGCTGGGACATCTGAGGAAAAGAAGGTCCCATTCGTAGGCGTCAGGCTCTCGTTGAGCTGCGCGCATGCCGTGGAAGCCTGAGTATGTGTACGCGGCGTGAGGAGGATGAAGCTGTCGTGTTCGCTTGTGGTCCGCCCTAAAGCACGGTGTTGTTACTCTCTCTGTCTCTCTCCGACCACCGCAGTAGAAACTCCACACACAATCGAGATCGTTTTGAAACAGTAACGTCAAATCTGAGTCTACCAACTGAGATGTCGGCGCCGACGCGACAGCGAGAGCGAAGGAGACCAGAAGTAGGGGGAGAGATGATTGGCGCATGGTCCTCGCCGGGGCCTGCCCTTCACACAAGCGTTTTACCCCGCTCGCTCGGAATAATCACGGAGTATGACGTCGCGTGACCCGCGACACAGGTCCCGCGACATGTTGAGAACGGAGAAAGATCAGGAGGTCTGAAATCACCCACGTCAACACACCCCGCATACGTCACGTGTGCCTTGTTTTAACGTTAAATAATGCTGACATTTTTATTTGCAAGGTTGAATTGTGTAAAAGGAATGATCATGCACACTGCTCAACTTCCTACCACCATGCGCCTAATAACCACTACACTCAGGTCGTTGTCCAAATTGTTCTCTCCCTCACGTATTGTGACTCGTGAGCCCTCACCAGCCCTCATTGATAATGTTCTACTGATGACTTCATCTCTCGTTGTCTCGTGCAGATCTACTTTTTTTATCCATGAGTGCGACTCAAGAAAAGTTCGGATCTGTTTATCCGGGGCTACAGCGTGAAGACTTAGGGCGGAAAAACGTGGTATGTTCGTATCCTCTGGTAAGCAGCGTGCGGTCTGGGGGCAAATTCTTGATTCGCCATGTTTCGAATACTTCCCTGTTGTATCTGTATAAGATATATTTTGCCGTACTGTTCTTTGTACTGTCCTAGGACTAGCATGCTCGAGAAGGGCCCGAATTCTAGTAGAGCGGCCGAAATGGAGCGCTCTTGTGACCTCCTGTGGAGTCACCCCGCTTATGATGGACTTGTTGAAGCCTCAAAATGGCGTCATGAGGGCACAATGTCCGCGTTGTCCACCGCTTATGAGACACTTACTTATGTATGGGCGCATTAGCATATTCTGCACCTTTTGGAACAAACGTCACTGTCTGGGATCAACACGGCAACGATCATCAGCACGGGGTTTGAAGTGAAGTTTCGGCACCGGGATCATCCTTCTCTTCTCACCTTCCACTGACCGCTCTACTTCTCGAGCACGCCGTACTGCTCCACGTTCATGGGCTGTTCTCATGTGTTGCGAGCGATATGGGTCCCTTCTTGACTGGCGCCATCTCTTTCGGCACCCGCGGATATGACGCCCGTGGCAACTCGGGCGCAAAGCGTGGGGCCTGGTTGTCTGTCTCCGAGTTCTATCCCGCTGAATCATGGAATAGGAACGACCCTCGCGACTCGACTCGCGTGCTGGTGCATATGGGAGGGAGATTTCACATGCTCATGCGCTGGGCCGTGGCGTCTATCCAGTTCAACGAGAGCGACCGAGCATATGACGCGAAGAGCGCCATCGACAACCACACTCGTATAAATGCGGACGTTCTCCAGGGTAGGAGTCCCAAGGTCCCATCTCGGTATCCTCCCAGCTTCTCGCACAAGCAACGTTCAAAATGGTCTTCGCCTCTGCCCTCGTCTCGCTCCTCCTCGCCGCAGCTGCTCTCGCAGCCCCGCGCAGCAACGTCGAAGGCCGCCAGGCCCGCCGCCGCATGTCCGGCCCGCGTCTCCCGACCGAGGGCCCCCACGCGAACTTGATCTCCAACGCGACCTCCCACGTCGCGTACAGCCAGAACTGGGCCGGCGCCAGCCTCGAGAGCCCCTCGGGCACGTACACGTCCGTCACCGGCACGTTCACCGTCCCGACGCCCCGCTCTGCCGGCGGGTCGGGCAGCTCCGCGGCCTCGGCGTGGGTCGGCATCGACGGCGACACCTGCTCGAGCGGCATCATGCAGACTGGCATCGACTTCAACGTCGACAACGGCCGGGTCTCGTTCGATGGTGCGTTTGTTTGTTTGCATTCGATCCCGCATGCCCTGATCTGAAGTCATGAACAGCCTGGTACGAGTTCTACCCCGCGTTTGCGAGCGACTTCTCCGGGTTCTCCGTCAGCGCGGGCGACGTGATCACCCTCGTCGCGACCAAGACGTCATCGACTTCCGGCCATGTGTCGATCACGAACGAGTCCACCGGCCGCAGCGTGTCCAAGACGCTCTCGGGCAGCGGCAGACTGTGTGGGGAGAACGCGGAGTGGATCGTCGAGGACTTTGAGCAGGGAAACTCGCTCGTGCCGTTCGCCAACTTCGGCACTGTCACGTTCACGAACGCCAGGGCGACGCTCGCGTCGGGTGGAACGGTCGGACCGAGTGGCGCGCAGCTGCTTGACATTGAGCAGAACAGCGTGCTTACGTCCGTCAGCGCGTCTGGCAGCTCTGTGACCGTTCGGTACGTTTGAGCGCGGAGATGCAATGAGGGGCACGTAGTCTTTACTTTCCTGTAAGGATTATGAAGTGTCCTGGTCACAAGACCCAATCGATCGGAATATATTCTATTGTCGAGAAACAGTGTCTTGATGTTTCCAGTCTTCATGAGCAGTCAGTCATCCAAGCCTTGCCGCCTCCGAGGGGGAAGTTCAGTCTGTGATCCTCTGAATTGCCTATCTGGTTCTCCTCAAGGCAGCTCTGATCAGCAGTAACTCTCCTGCTTAAGCTCTGCCCGTGTCCCGTGGGGATGGCCGATAGTCAAGCATACGACATGGCTAACTCGCGGAAGAGATCAGATGAATGGCTGCAGTTGCCACAGTGACTCAATTCAAGCCGTCTTTGCTAAGACTAAGAAATCGGCTATCAAAACAGACCACGCCAAAGGCCGCGGACTAGTTCGCGTGGGTTTTCGTCTGCCGTTCGATTTGTCGAAAATACTTTCCGACTCGAGCTGTGTTTTGATTCCTCAGTACTCGATGCAAGCGTATTGATGAATAGAATGGAGAACTATGAATTGCAGCTCTTTGATGGACAACTATGACTTCTCCTGGACAATATCCACCCTCCCAGTCTCACTGATCTTGACGAGGACCTGTTTTGTGCTCGCTCGCGCGGGCCAGGGTGCGTCGAAGATATCGTCCAACTCCTCGAGGGTGCGCCCGTTCTGGTGTCACTGGTCAGCCGAGAGTTCACGATCAAGAAAAGAACGCACCGTCTCCACACAAAACAGATACCACAGCCCGGAAGCAATCACGTCCCACGCGACAAATACAAAGTAGTACTTCCATCCGAGGTTCCCCAATCCTACACTGTTTGCGAACGTGTTGATGAATCCCGCGCAATTCGAGATCAAAACGTGCACTTCAGAGGATGAGGTCCCGAAACGCGCAGGTCATCAAATCAAACGCACCCGCCATGCCTTTGGCACGCATGTCTTGGCTCATAACTTCCGCACAATAAAGGGCCTGCAGGGGGGTGTACACAAATGCATAGACGATTCCGAATACAAAAATCAGCGCGATCGACGCGTTGGCCCCAGCGACATTCTTGTTTCCCGCGACGCCGTCTTAGAAGCGCTCTGAATTTCATTCGGTGAAAGAAGTAAACGACGCACATTTGCCCGACAACGCAGCGACAGCAGCAAGCAGACCACCTAGAATGAGCGATCCGAGGTAGAGCCGGCGCCGACGTCCAAGCTTGTCCGTCAGCGAGGCGCCAAGAAACGCACCGCCCGCTGATAGCAGCGAATTGGCAAAGTTACTGTGAGATTCATCAGGTCAGATGGCACAGAAGAGAGGGAGCGGAAAACCTCACTAGACAAGCTGCTTGTGCGGACTTGTAACTCCTGCGTTCTTCATCATCACCGTGAGGAAGTAAGTTATCAGTCCGTTCCCGGCGAGTTGCCCGTTCAAGCACTGTTTTGACACTTTCTCAACAACATAATCGGACCCAGGACGATCAACAAACCATGAGAGACAAACACAGCATCCGCCAGCGGCGGTTCCTGGTGCGAAATAGGGAGCTGTAATCCCAGAACTACGCCAACCACTGAGCTCGGGCTTGATCAACCGCAAACTGTTCAGCCACTCACAGCATCTTCCCGCTTTACCGCGATCTGCCGCTCAAACTCCTCCATCTGCAGCTCGATCACAGGGTTGCTTTGGCCGTCATTCGAGTGGTAGTCGATCAAAATCTGTCGCGCTTCCTCGGCCCGACCGCGCGAGACGAGCCATCGTGGGGACTCTGGGCAGAACCAGACAGAAATCATCACGATCAGCTGTATGTCGTGTCTGAGTGCTGAATCATGCACAATGGAGCTGGAAGACACACTCACGGGCGGCGCAACCTGCAGTACGAGGGGAAGCCGCCATGCCCAGGTGGTGTTGATTTTGGCCGTTCCGACCATGGAGCCAGTTGCAGGTATGCTGCCAATGAAGAAGCACCTTGGGCAAGGTGAGATAAAGCACTAGAAAGAGAGCTGTAGAACGAACGAGTTGTACAGGGCACCAAGTCGGCCGCGCCACTGCGGAGGAGCAATTTCTGTCACCCATGTCGGCGCGCTTCGTGAGGTTTAGATAGGCGAAACGGAATGAATCGGATCGCCACGCACGCAGTTGTTGATATAGCGATCCCGAATCCAAGGAGGAAACGACCAGCCAGGAACGCGCCCCGGACTTGAGCAGTCACGCTGACGATCGCGCCGATGAGAATGAACAGTCCGCCCTGCCCGCGGATGAGCTGTGCATCGAAGGGGCAAAGACGACGACGCACCGCGAACATTCCCCCGCGCCGACCGTACTGTTACCGATCGAATGACATCGGCTGCGCTGCAATCTGAAGCAGAATGCTCACCAGTTCCGTAGCGGGTCCGGCGAACAAAGCGCCGGCGCAGTTTCCCGTTACGCTAGTCCTCAAACATCGGACTTTGTATTGAACGAACTAGTTCCGCGACGCACTAGATCATGAACACAATCCCCGTCGACTTTCCGACCGACGCATAATCGAACTAGAGAGACCTCAGTGGACCGCCTCGAGGTGTCGTCCGAACATACAAAGTTCAGGTACTGGGGCATGGCGTTGATCCCGCTCATCAAGCTCCCGTCGAATCCACTCGACACGGCGTTAAGGAAGCCGACCATCACGACAAAGTACAGCTTGAAGGATCGTCAAACGAAGGACGGAGGCGCGGAGGGAGGAGCTCACCATGAAGCTCCGTCGGCTGAAGCCATGCAAATCTGTCTTTCGCACCGCGCTCTGCAAGTCAGGGTTGTAGACTTGGGCTACGGCTACGGCCCCGCCCCGCCGCTGAACGTCGCTGTCGGAGTCGGAGGAGACGGAGCGTTTCTCGTCTGCGGTGGGAGAGGAGGTCATGGGGAGTGTCGAGAGAGACGATAAGGATCCGCTCGGACGCCCGGTCCCGTGCCCGCGGGTTATGTACTCTTTCTATTGCTCGAGTTGCTTCTTGATGGAGTGGGGTCTCACGCCGATACGGGGGAGATGGTCTTCTCGATCGAACGCGGCTTGATAGGCGCAGATATTCAGCAAGATGACAGGCGTGTAGGGTACTTATCAACTGATCGCGATGCGCAGCACGGTTGAGGAGGGCGCCGAAAGTAAATCGAGAATCGTGGTCACGCGCCGAGGCTGAGCGGGTCCTTATCGGGAGTTGGAGTTCAATCAGCATGACGGCGCGGTGTGGGGCATTGACAAAATGGTACATTCTCTGTCGCTGATGCTGGCTGAAGTGTGTTCGTTAGAAAAAATGATAAAGCATTCGTGCATTGGGACTTGAGAAAGATGGAATGTGACGCGTGATGGTCACAAACCCTCCGCTTTTCGTCCTCTTCCACGTCAAGGCTGTGCTGTGTACTTGGTCAAAACGAGCCATAAACTGGTGGCATGACTGGCTCAAACGATCTCGAAACCTATCAAACCTCCGCTCCGCTTCTTCCTCTCGCCAATGAACGCAAGCAATCACAGCCATGAGAAGATCTTTACCTGCCGCCGCCCAACTTCGCCACTGTGACGAATGGACGCTGCACGCTCCGTTGGTCTCGTCCGCTTCCTGATCGAGATCGCGAATGAGGAAGGCGCACGGAAATCTTCTTCAATGGCTCATAGGTAACGCACGCCGACCTCCACATCTTCGACGTCTCGCTGGGCCGTGCACACAGCTCTCCGTCAGGACAGACCTTCTGGTCCGATCTGGGATCCGATAGCTCCCTCGCCTTGCCCCAGCTTTACATTCCCTCCAATGCCGCGTGGAACTGCAGATCTGATGCAATGGGCTGGGTTTTGATGCCTCACTACCTCAAAATTGCACCTTCCGCATCGTGACAAACTTATCATGATATACAGAGCGTCGTATGTCCTTCCATTCCTCTTAAGGTCGCTACACAGTACTCATTTAACCCCACAGCCATTCCTTCTACGTGGCAAACACCCAGAAAGACGAAGCCTGGTCGTTAAACCCGATCGTGCGCAGATCCGCGTTACCGGGGTACGTGATCGTCGGAGTGCCCCACACATCTGGGTTGCAGCCCGCGTTCCTAGACGGACACTCGTGATCAGCCAGCCAGCACCAGTCTCAGCTCGCCATTGGCACTTACCCGTACAAAGTCACCCCGGTGCCCTGATCTGGTCCGATGCTGGAGATCTTGTTGTTCCAGTCACTGCCGAGGGTGATGCAGCTGTTGATCGGCTGCACGGCGTAGCCACACGTGCCGCTGAAGTTGATGTCCGTGCAGATGTAGATCCCGCCGATGTTTCGTTTGCTGAGTCCTGCGTCCTAGGAGGGGTCAGCATCCGGTCCCGGTGTGAGACCGCGAAGGCCTACGGTGGCGTTGGGCATGGATGTGCCGAATGCCGAGGCGGGGAGGATAGCACCGTCCCATCCGAGAGCGGTCTTCCAATCCTCAGGCGTCGGGACGGCTTTGACACCGACGGCGAGGACAGCGGCGAGGACAGCGGTGAAGAACTGAGAAGCAAAGTACATCTTTCTACCCTCACTTGCTCTCAATCCGCGCTCCATAGCGCTCTTATACGATGCAGTTTGAAGCTGATCCATGACTGACGGTGCTCCCAGATCAGTCTTAGCCCGGATCAGTCATCTCGGGCACGCACGGGGGTGCCCAGTGTGGTCGAGTCGCGCTTAGAGTCGACGTACCTGTCACGCAGATAGCACCTAAGCTCCTGGGTCCGCGCTTGGTGGTCGTCTATGAACGTTTGAACCACTCAGTTGCGCAGATAAGATGATTAGTCGACGAGGGAAACGGCAATAATGCAGAATGGTTCGTGCACTATGCCAAAGTACGCCACAAATGTTCGCGCGATTTCCAGCCCCGTCACCGAAGCGAGAAACTTGCATATTGACAAGATTGCACTGAATCACTAGTGAGTCAGATTGCCATGTCATGACCGTGCCATTCCGCGCCGCCATTATGCACCGTCAGCACGTCATCTTTTTTATTCCTCTTTCTCTTGTTCCTCACGGATATGTTCGCCCCCTACACATATCGAAAGATCCACCGCCCTTCACCCCTGCTCAGTCGAGATACACCGATACAGAAACGGTGATATGCCCCGAGAAGCTTACATAAGAGACCAGGCACATTCCGGACCTCCTGGTGGGACCTGCAGCGATACCGTCTGCTCTACCGTCGTGTCAACTCTGAAACCTCATAGTCACTGCGAGCCAGTGTGCATGCGATCCATTCCTGCCCATACCATCCCTATATACTAATAGATATCTACAGAAACCTCATTGTCCTTGGATCCAGCCCTCTAGCTAACCTCAGCATCACGACGTTCCCGGTCAGACTTGAGAACTATCCGCACATCAGCAACGGGAAAGGAAGACAAAGAGGGAGAGGGAGACGACTGACCCCGTTTCCCAAAAACACCGCCGCGCTCTCCGCGATGGACATGTCGACCGCCATAGCCACGCCCTTCTGCGCCGAATCAAGCAGCAGGTCGTAGCTGGACCACACATCCGTCCACCCGTCCTCAAGCAACCTCTCTCGCAGCTCGCTCACGACGCCCGTCCGCGCATTTGTCAGCAGAAACACCCTCTGCAGCGGGCTCCCCTCGTCCCCGTGCTCCGCGCGCACCGTGTGCAGCCTCTGCACAAGCTGCTCGACACTAGGAAGGCAATGCTGCATGTACTCCGCGGCTGTTTCCGATTCCGATTCTGTGCCCGCGCCGGCGACGAAACGGTCGGGGAGGGCCGGGTGCGTGTTGATGCCGAGATACGTGCTGTTCCAGGCTGCGAGGCGCGGGCAGTGCCGCACGTAGTCGCCCTGCCGCAGGTGCACCGCAAGCAGGCCGGCGAAGGTCTCGTTGGAGGGCGCGATGGGCGAATTGAAGTTGCGCAGCGGGGGGTAGAGTTGCGCGTTGTCGAGGGGGCGGAGGACGGCGAAGTTGCGTGCGACGGCGCTCCTGACGAGCGGGGACCACGTGAATTTACTGAGGATCGGCGAGGCAAAGAGGGCAGGGAGAAGTGCCAGGATGTGCTCCGAGCCGAAGAAGCTGGGGTGGACGAATGGTCAGCGAAAGTCACTCAAATGTGGAGGACGCACTATCTGTTGAAGACCGGTTCTTCCGAGGCAATTTCGACGCAGCGCACGCCTTCGACGGACTTGAGATGCTCTACCCACCAATCCAGCACCTCCAACGTGCTCGCACCCATCTCACCGCTTGGCGTATCAGCCGTGGCACGAACTGTACGAATCTGGTCTCTGGCGCAGACCTGCTCGAAGAAGGCAGCGCTGACAGCCCGTTTGTGAGGCTCCTCTGGCGCGCCCCCGGCGAGTGGACCCGAGATGAATGCGTTCAGCGGTATCCGCGACGGACGCAGCGAAAAATCCGGCCAGGACACCGTGTATGGCAGGGGGGACTGGGACCAGGTGTAGTCCTCGAAGACGTATGTCCTGTTATCGTGTGCGAGAGATGCGCTGCGACAATGCTGCCGATCGTTACTGAGTGCGCGACAGTCAACGGAAATGCACGCACGCTTCTTGTAGCACATTATTCCACCCGTGGCCTATCAGATGTCCGGGGAAGCGCAGGTACATCCGCCTGTCCTCGAGAGTGGTCGCGTTCTCGTGTTGCGGCAGCCGCTGCTCGTAGGTCCGGATGTCGGAGTACGTCGAGGGAACGCCATTCAGGAGTAGCACCAGGAGAAGCAGCACCGGTGCAGCCAGGCACATGCAAGCACACCCTCGTACCAACACCCTCCGCCTCGTCCAGCTGGCCCGCGCTGGCGCCCCATGATCGAGTGGCGATGTGCGTCGTGTGGCTTCTGGCGACGGAACGAGCTCGTAGCCACGATATTGCGGTCCTGCCGCGCCTCTTGTCCATCTGATGGTCGTCCACGGTAGCCTCGTCATGGACGTGGAGGAGGTAAACAGCCAAGCTTGGTTCCGCAAACGTTCTTAAAGTTAGACTTCTTCGCACACGTTGAAGCGGCGGATCAATGCACTCGGCAGCCGAAGCTTGGATGGAAGTTGGTGCGGCCTTCTAGTCTCAGGCAGGGGGAGGAGGAGCAGAGCAGTCGGGCTGGCGCAGTGTTTTACGTCGTGGCAGACAGCACTGACAGCGATATGCACCGCACAGCGGTTCGTCTTTACTTTCATTATACTGCGGCCAAGACGATAAGAATCCCCTTGTGACCGGAACCCCTTGACAACGTCGAGTAAGTGTCGGTCGCGCCGGCTAGTGCCTGTTCTTTGGGCTGATCGTGGAGATAAACAAAGGTACATACAGCGTGCTGCGGATTTGATCGCTTCGAATTTCGAACAGGGGTGCTGCTTCAAAAACAATACATGTTTCTTTCCTTTACCGTCGACTTGAGGGTTTTCACCTTGTCTCGCCCCATAAATCCTTGTGACTAAAGCTATACTCTGCCGCTGGAGCGAGAAGTTTGTTTTCGGTCACAGCTTACAGCCGCCGCTTGTGACGGATTCTAATTATTATCGGTGCTGTCCTCGCAGACACATCCGGGTGATGCTCTGCGGATGTTACTCAAAGACTCGCCAGTTTCCGAGGGACAATCTCTAGTAGACACTGACTGTAAACCCCGAAGCTATCCTGTTGACGACGGCCAGGCGAGGCGGTGCAACTCTGCTGCAAACGGCGCAGGCGGCCACGCGACAGTGTCAGGCTGTACGAGTTTCAGCTCATTTGTCGAGCACCGCTCGGATCTCTGCGGAAATGGAGTCCTGAATGGGTCACTCGTCTGCGCCGCAGAGATCCAACGCAGCACTCGTCAAGGGCTGAGCACAGCTTATAAACGCGGGGAGAAGCAGGGTCTGGACTGTCGCTTACAACCATAACCGACTTACGCAGTCCATGGATAGATATGATATGCCAGACGGAGAGAGATGCCCGCAGATGCGGACTTGGCTCAAGCTCGAACAGATCATCAATGTAGGCAGTGCTCGCTATACCGCCAGAGAGTGTGCTTGGGACCTTCATTCGATGTCATCGCATGAGTGTAGACTTGGATAGAAAAACGTGCTGACGCGCCCGCTTGCGCATATACGCAAGTCGAAGACAGATGACGGTCGAGGACGAGTCTCGGACAAGCCGGTCCGTGATTGACAGGTGGCGGTACGTGATCAATAGCGTCTGAATTCAGCGGCGCAACTATTTTTCCTGTAACCACATCGATTCACGGCTGCGGACGACACCACCGCACGATTTCTAACGACTTGGCGCATGTTGCTCCGTGTACCAGGCTCAGCTGAGCTCGCTTAGACGACGCCAAGATCAATTTGGCGGACTTTGTGCTCCCTTCGACAAAAACCATTCAGCACTGTTCTTAGCCATCCCCTTCCCATATGACGCCGAGCTTTCTTCAGTCTATCTCCCACATGTTTCCTTATTATTTAGACACCGAGATATGCCTATCTTTACTCTATAAAACCCTGTATGTCTTTACTTGCAAAAATAGACAGATTTTGGACTACCTTTCAAATTCAAGCCTTCGACACGCTCCGCTTTAGTCTCGTACCTCGCCTTCGACTCCGGCCATTGTCCCCGACACTTGGACACTCCGTCCCCCAACAACCGGCTCCTTCTGCTGCCCGATACGTCCCGGAGCAGTTGAACCCTCGCATTTTTATTAATCCTGCTGCTGTTGCGTAGTAGCTGACCTGTATTTTGTTAGCTCGCGCCCGGCCGACAGCAGAGTCGTCATTTTGGAGCCCACCGCGAGGGGTTTCAACATTGATTCTGGTTCTTCGCGCAGCTTGCGAGAGAACGCTCACTCCGATCTTCGTCGAAATCTCCGTGAAGAGATATTCATTGCAGTACACGACCCCACAACCGTTTCCTTCGACAACGAGTCTCTCTTTGACCTTGTACCCGACCACCTTTCGCGGCACAACAATCTCTCGCCACATTCCCGAGCTCGCCGACTTTAGCTTGGCTATTCAACGCACCTTTGACGCCTTCAACTCCGTCTACACCTTTGCTTCCTGCTACCCCCGTTCCTCCGATCATGGCCAATCCGATTCCAATGCCGGCTCGAGGAGATCGCAACGCTCCAGTCTTCGATTCGTCGAGGCCACATGAGCTGCGTCGCTACTTCTCTGATCTCGAATTCCTGCTGACTCGTTCTGCTGTCACGGATGCCGCCGAAAAGAAGGGCCACGCAGTTCGTTTCCTTTCGGTCGATGATCAGGAGATCTGGGAAGGATTAGCGTCCTTCTCAGATGCGGGAAAATCCTACGAAGATTTCAAGGCTGAAGTACTTGGCCTTTACGCTGGCAACGATGCTGATCGCCGGTTCAGTCTTGATGACTTAGACCGACTGGTTGGACAAACATCTCGGGTCGGGATTCATACAAAAGAGGATCTCACCCTGTTCTATCGCCAATTCCTCCACATAACAACGTTTTAATCAGCAAGGGGCGGCTCTCTGTATCTGAACAGAGTCGTTTCTTCCTGCGAGCAATGCATCCGACTTCGTTAGCTGCAGCTGTTCGGCAACGGTTGCAGATCAAGAAGCCCGATGTGCATCCCGAGGATCCATACGATTTAACAGACCTTTATGATGCTGCTAAATTCGTTCTCGCAGGATCGTCAAGCTCGTTCCCGTCGTTGCCGTTGCCTTCGCCAAAGGCTGAGGTTATGGTGAAGCCTGATCCAGGCATTTCTGCGCTTGTCTCGTCGGTTCAGACCTTGTGCGCATTATCGCGGCTCAGCAATCAACTCAGCCGGCTGCTCCGGTAACAACTGCACCTGCTCCTCGACGCCCACGGCCCGATGGCTGTGGCTACTGCAGCGAACTGGATCATTTTATCGGCCAGTGCCCACATGTGGTTACAGATACCCGTGCTGGGAAGTGTCGACGAAACACGGATGGGAAGGTCGTACTCCCATCCGGTGCTTTTGTTCCTGGTTCTATTCAGGGACGCAACCTACGAGAGCGCATCAGCAAGTGGCATGAGGCGAATCCAGGTCAGACTGCAGCCGCGCAGATGATGCTAGAAGTTACTCACCAAAATATGTTTTCCTCCTCGTTTTCGGGCCCGGAAATCGCGCAAACGTTTACGCTGACGGACGAGGAACGCATGGAAGTGCTGAAGCCGAAATGTATCAGCTCCAAACGCGTGCTCAGGCAAAGCGAGCCATGGAAACGAGAAATCAGCCTGACGCACCTGATCGCACTATTCCAGCTCCGACTCGCAATTCCCCGCCTCCAGTGCACGCTCCTGTGCCTGCCCGGTTCCACCGACCTCCGCACCTCTTCCGTCAACTCATCCGTTCGCCGCGGCTCGTGATGGCGCATATGCGCCTCCGAAACAGCGAAATCTGGGTGTGCCAGCTGCAAAAGCACTACCCCCCCGTTCTGCGGCGCCCATCTACAATCCCAAGGACGCAGCAACCGTATTTGATAGCGTTCTCGACACACCTATCACCCAGACGCTCCGGCAAGTTCTGTCAACAGCTCCCGAAGTTCGTGCGCAGATGCGCGAAGCTACGAGTTACCGCCGTGCTCCGGCCAAGACCGGCGATGTTGCTCCGCAGTTCTTCAAAGCTGCATCTGTCGCGGTCGCTGAGGAGGACGGAGGCATGGCCATACGAAGATGAGGATGCGCTGGACCAGATGCTGCATCAACAGCGAGATCTGATGCACATCTGGCGTCAATCTCCGAGCAGTTTCCAGCTGCCTATGCTAACGCGTCGAGGCCGCCTCCGCAGGATGCTTGGGTCGTGCCGGACGAGTTTGCGGTGTACTACGAGGAGATGGGGAAGCTTCCTCCGGCTGGTGATTTGATCGTTTCCGCTGAGTCTTCCGCAATTCGGTCAATCCTTCCTATTATAGATAATCAGCAGCAGGTCGAGTGCATTGTTGACAGCGGATCTCAGATTAATGCCATGTCGCAAGCGGTCTGCCATAGTCTTGGCCTTGTCTACGACCCGCGGATAATTCTGCGAATGCAGTCTGCCAACGGAACGATTACTCCGTCGCTCGGTCTTGCTCGGAACGTACCAGTTCGCATCGGTGATATTACGGTCTACCTCCAGATTCACATTATTCGAGACGCTGCCTACGACATCTTGCTCGGACGACCGTTGACGTTCTGACTGAAAGCGTGGTCCGGAACTTTGCAAATTCCGATCAGACAATCACAATTACTGATCCGAATACGGGCAAGTCTGCGACAGTGCCGACTGTTCCTCGAGGAGCTCCGCGCTCGTCCTCAGGTTTTTTGGAGCTCGAGGAATTGATTCCAGATCAAGGAGAGTTCGCTTGGTGGTCGAGGCTGATCCTGGCCAACATGAACGCTACGTATTTTCTGCTTATGCTTCACTTCCTTCTTATGATACCACTGCACACTTGCAATATGCTTATTATCTGCTTGCAGTAACCTTGGTTCGCATTCCGACACCGTATTACTCGCACATACCATCGCTCAACGGTGTTTTCTTCGAGCCGTGATTCAACTCACGGAAAACAATTCATTCCTTTTTTCTTTTTCTTCTTCGCATGTACAACTACCAGACAAGTCCCCTCTTCTCGTCTCTTGCCGCCGCTTCAGCACTATGCTAACAAAAAGTACAAACCAGTTGCACAGAAAATCCGACCAGTACTTGGATCAGTTCCTGATCAATTCCGGATCGAGCGCAGGATTATTGGTGATCCACTCACGGATTTGCCAAAACTCGAGCCCAATCCCCCTCTATTCACGCCAACCGGACGCTATACGGCCGAACGAAAGGCCGCTCTTGACGACGCACACTGCGGTGATTTTCTGCGGCCTGCAGAGAGAGAACTGATGCATCATTTTATGTGTTTGCATCAAGGCGCGTTTGCGTGGCAAGAATCCGAGCGTGGAAGCTTTCGATCCGACTTCTTCCCCCCGTCAACATCCCCGTCGTTCCCCATACGCCATGGGTACAGCGTAATATCCCCATTCCGCCCGGGATCTACGATCAGGTCTGCAGATCATCCGTTCGAAGATTGCTGCCGGTGTGTACGAAGCTTCCAATTCATCGTATCGCTCTCGCTGGTTTTGCGTAGTAAAGAAGGACGGGACCAGTCTTCGACTGTTCATTCGCTTGAACCTCTCAATGCCATCACGATCCAGCATTCCGGAGTTACGCCATTCACCGAGCAACTAGCCGAGCACTTCGCGGGACGAGCATGCGGTGCTATGCTCGATCTCTACGTTGGCTACGACGAGCGCTTGATTGCGCCCTCCTCCCGTGACTACACAACATTCCAGACACCTTTCGGAGCGCTTCGCCTCGTTACACTACCAATGGGCTGGACAAACTCTGTCCCAATCTTCCATGACGACGTGACATTTATCTTACAGCCAGAGATTCCCGAATTCACCTGGCCTTACATCGACGATGTGCCCATTCGAGGCCGAAGACAACTTACTTGCTAGCTGATGGCTCCACCGAGACAATCCCAGATAACCCAGGGATCCGCCGTTTTGTTTGGGAACACTTCAATAACCTCAATCGCATGTGCAGCGGATGAGTTTTGTGGTGGCACCTTTTCGGGCTTGAAGCTGACGCTTTGTGATCAGAATATCACGGTTGTAGGACATGTCTGTACGCCTGCGGGAAGAATTCCAGATCAGAAACGCGTCGAGAAGATCTCCAACTGGGGACCATGCAAGACAATTTCAGAAGTTCGCGCTTCCTCGGCACCATTGGTGTTTGTCGAGTTTTCATCAGCAATTTTGCGCATCGTGCGCACGCTTTGACTCTACTCACTCGGAAGGATATGCCGTTCCATTTTGGAGATGCGCAGATTGCCGCACAAGAAGACCTCAAGCGGGCGTTGCTTTCCTCTCCTGCGTTACGTCCCATGATTACCATTCTACCGATCCCGTAATTCTTGCAGTTGATACTTCACAGATTGCCGTTGGATTTCTACTTGCGCAATGCGATCCAGCAGCTCCAGCTCGACGGTTCTATGCTCGTTTTGGATCTATTACATTGAACGACCGCGAGGCTCGCTTTTCGCAGCCTAAACTTGAGCTTTATGGCTTGTTCCGAGCCCTTCGGTCTTGGAAATTATATCTCATTGGCCTCCGGAATCTCGTTGTTGAAGTGGACGCTCGTTACATCAAGGGGATGCTACGTAACCCAGACCTCCTACCTTCGGCCAGCGTCAACCGTTGGATCCTCGCTATCCTTACTTTCCACTTCGAGCTCATCCACGTTCCGGGTATTCAGCACGGTCCTGATGGACTTTCGCGTCGTCCGGCGCAGCCTGGAGACGAGTTGGAGCCTGAAGATGATGGGTTTGAGGACTGGATCGACGAGGTGCATGGTTTCATGCATATGATCAATGACTCACCATTACGTCGCGTTGCCAACCCGCAACTTCGATCTACGCCGCCGAGATAGCCCCAACAGAATCAACTACGCCACCGCCGCTGTCTTACAACCAGGTCCCTCGAAGTGAGAATGCACGTCTTGCCGATGTTCGCGTTGACTTGGTCCGCAACTGGCTCGAAACGCTTCGTCGTCCACGGCAGATGTCCGACTCCCAGTACCAAGCCTTCGTCCGATATAGTATGGAGTTCTACACTGTCGATGATCAGCTCTGGCGGAAGGATTCTCATGGACGTCACAAGCTCGTCGTACCTCAGCACCGGCGCCTCTTCATTTTGCGCTCTGCTCATGACGATATCGGCCACAAGGGATTCCACGCGACCCGAGCACTGCTGCTCGAACGGTTCTGGTGGCCGTTTCTTGCGCAAGACGTGACTTGGTACCTTCGAACCTGTCATCTCTGTCAGCTGCGACAAACTCGGAAGATCGTAATACCGCCCACCGTTGCTGTTCCCGCTCCGCTCTTCTCGAAGGTGTACATGGACACAATGTACATGCCTCCTAGCGCGGATTCCGCTACATCGTTCAAGGAAGGTGCTCGATTTCGCACTTCCCCGAGTTCCGGATGCTCCGGCGCGAAACAGCGGCCACCCTGGGAGAGTGGATCTTTCAAGACTTCATTTGCCGATGGGGAACACTTACCGAGATCGTTTCCGACAACGGTACTCCGTTTGTGAAGGCTCTGGGGTATCTAGAAGCTAAGTATCATGTTCATCATATCCGCATTTCGGGATATAACTCACGCGCCAATGGGATGATCGAGAACTCGCACTTTGATGTCCGCGAGTCGCTCTTCAAGGCTGTGGACGGCGACCAGAAGCGCTGGAGCTCAGCCGCGTACTCGGTGTTTTGGGCGGATCGTGTCACAGTTCGCCGGAGAATGGGGTTCACCCTACTTCGCAGTGACTGGGACGCATCCCCTTCTGCCGCTAGACATATCCGAAGCGACGTACCTGCTCCCGCCTCCTGAATCGGTGCTTTCGACCACCGAACTCATCACCCGACGTGCTATTGCCCTCCAGAAGCGACGAGAGGATCTTGCGGCGCTCCATTCCCGTGTATACGAAGCCCGACTCCACGACGCTGCCCAGTTCGAGTTGGACCACTCAGTAACGATGCGCGACTTCGACTTCAAGCGTGGCGACCTCGTTTTGATGCGGAATACGGCGATCGAGAAGTCGCTGAGCGCAAAGATGCGCAAGCGGTACCTTGGCCCTCTAATTGTCATCTCGCGCAACCGTGGGGGTGCGTACATTCTCTGCGAACTTGACGGCGCCGTCTTTCACCGCCAATCGCCGCCTTCCGAGTAATTCCGTACTTCGCCCGAACGTCCATCCACTTCCCTCCTCGAAGATTTCTTGGACATTTCAACCGAAAAGCTGCGCAAGCTCGAGCAGTCGACGCTGGAGGATCCGGATGGAGACGATGACGAAGAACAGCCTGAGCTAGAGCAGGATTAGCGGACGAAGAAAATTTCAGTCGGGAGGACGCACCAGAAGATTCACCGGACTCATTTCCCATTCCCCCAAGTCGCATCCTTCGATTCGTCGTCGTATTGCGCGGTTCTTCAGAGCCAAGGCTATGATGATTTACTGAGCCTTTCTTGTCGACCTTGATCTACTTTCAACAGACCCACGCACCTTCGAATGACCGAGGACGGTCATATTTTCAGTTCGGAGGAGATGACGCGCCCGCTTGCGCATATACGCAAGTCGAAGACAGATGACGGTCGAGGACGAGTCTCGGACAAGCCGGTCCGTGATTGACAGGTGGCGGTACGTGATCAATAGCGTCTGAATTCAGCGGCGCAACTATTTTTCCTGTAACCACATCGATTCACGGCTGCGGACGACACCACCGCACGATTTCTAACGACTTGGCGCATGTTGCTCCGTGTACCAGGCTCAGCTGAGCTCGCTTAGACGACGCCAAGATCAATTTGGCGGACTTTGTGCTCCCTTCGACAAAAACCATTCAGCACTGTTCTTAGCCATCCCTTCCCATATGACGCCGAGCTTTCTTCAGTCTATCTCCCACATGTTTCCTATTATTTAGACACCGAGATATGCCTATCTTTACTCTATAAAACCCTGTATGTCTTACTTGCAAAAATAGACAGATTTTGGACTACCTTTCAAATTCAAGCCTTCGACACGCTCGCTTTAGTCTCGTACTCGCCTTCGACTCCGGCCATTGTCCCCGACACTTGACACTCCGTCCCCAACAACCGGCTCCTTCTGCTGCCCGATACGTCCCGGAGCAGTTGAACCCTCGCATTTTTATTAATCCTGCTGCTGTTGCGTAGTAGCTGACCTGTATTTTGTTAGCTCGCGCCCGGCCGACAGCAGAGTCGTCAGTGCGCATGATGCAAACAGAAAAACAATGAAAGTGACTCGACACTGATCTTTATGTGCGTCGCGAGAGTCGGAGTGCATCACTATATCCGGAAAGTTCTATAGCGTGGTCGCTACCGCTAGTACTCTCCCCGGCATGCTTCTATTCAAAGCAGGAAACTACGGTAGATGACTCAAACAAATTGATTCCTTGACACAATCTCGACTTGAGCAATGTTCAGAATAGGAACACCCTACTTCGTCCATAGATCGTGGCCATGAATACCATTATCATCTAAAAACGTGTAGTGCTGGAAGATATGCGCTATATTGTCCCTTCTCGCTCTTTCTCTCTGGAACGGTGACGCGTCTGACAGCTGATCGCAGTATTATATGGGCATCCTATTCGAAACGTGGATCGGAAAGCAGATGTCGCGCAGAAGTAAAAAGTGAAGAAAATGATTTCGTCGGATGCTTTGAGGACTGCGCCGATCGGATCGCCTCGAAGCCGATGTGCGAGCCCGGCAGGAAGAGGAATCCCAAGAAGCTCAAGCTCGATATAGACTGTGAGACGAATTATGGCGGAGGCAAAAACGACGGGAATCCTGATGCGATTGCCAGACGATGGAACTGACTAGGAGGCGAAGAAAATTGGAAACTCAAGCCAGCCCCCCAGGCTCGATGCCTTGAATTTGCTGTTAATGCAATAACCATGAAATCTATCGAAACCCATATCCGCAAGTAAATGAAGAAAACAAGAGAGGCAGATAAAATTGAAGCGTTCCTTTCGCGAATGTCTGTCCCATTGTCATATCGGCGTATCTTGGCCGATACAGTACGAAACATCGTCCCTGCTGAATTTGTCGTCATCTTATGGGCTTGAAGGACCGTCTAAAGTTTGCTGTCGACTATTTCACCATTACACTCAACATTCATTTGTTGCCAGTGGAGATTGAGCCTCAGATCACTGCAAGCTGTATGGCAGTTGATGGCGACACTGCACCCTTACGGTGAAAAGTCCGGTCCGGTCAGTGATCCAGTAAGTGGAAGTATGGAACGTTGTGGACATTCTTTACTTCGCAAAACATTCAAGGGTCCGCCGTCTGCATAAGTAAAATAGAAAGAAGTGGCACCAACCGGTCTGGTGGTGAATATGGAGCGCGGGAAAATTTCGGGAGAGATCCTGCTGACATGCTCAAAAGATAGACAGTTGAGGCCAACAATCTGTGTCGCGAGGCCCACTTGAGGACTCAACACCGACACTAATGGTCGAATCTGGTCATTGACTTGCGAGAAAGGAGGCCGTTGGATATTTCGATGAACACAAATTCTACATACCCTCGCTGTGTCTCGTCACTCAAACGTATTTAACAGTCACAGAGCTCGTGGTCGCGCTAACGGAGGTGAGGACGCTGTTCTGCTCGAGTCGAGCAGCTGCGCGCCACTCGGTCCGACGGTTCCACCCGACGCGAGAGTGGCCTTGGCATTGGTGAACGTGACAGTGCCGAAGTTGGCGAACGGCACGAGCGGTTACCCTCCTCAAAGTCCTCAACGATCCACTCCGCGTTTTGGCCACAGAGCGGTGCGCTGCGGTGAGCGCTTGGACACGGTCTGCGGGTGGACTCGTTGGTGATCGAGACGCTGCCGGAGGTCGTGGAGGACTTGGTCGCAACGAGAGTGATCACGTCACCAGCGCTGACGGAGAAGCCGGAGAAGTCGCTGGCAAACGCGGGGTAGTACTCGTACCAGGCTAATTAAATGCGTCAGTGAGAAACCCAAACGCCAAATGGGACGCAGAAAATGCCCATCATAGGAGACAACGCCGTTGTCGATGTTGAAGTCGATGCCGGTCTGCATGATCGCGCTTGAGCAGGTGTCGCCGTCAATGCCGACCCACGCCGAGGCAGCGAAGCTGCCCGAGCCACCGGGGGACTTAGGGGTAGGGACGGTGAAGGTGCCGGTGACGGAGGTGTACGTGCCCGAGGGACTCTCGAGACTGGCACCCGCCCAGTTCGTGCTGAATGCCACGTGCGAGGTCGCGTTGGAGATCTGGTTCGCCGCCGCGGGGCCTTGAGACGTAGACGCGGGCCGGACATGCGGCGGCGGGCCTGGCGGCCTTCGATGTTGCTACGCGGAACCGCGAGGGCGGCGGCGGCGAGGAGGAGCGAAACGAGGGCGGAGGCGAAGACCATTTTCAACTTTGGTTGTGGGAGAAGCTGAGAGGATACCGAGGTGGGGACCTTGGAAATCACCAGCTCACCAGCCTTGCGTTTTATACTGATCTAGTGGTCATTTCCGTTGTACGGCTTATCTACTTCGTCCCGCAGCTGCTGAAGTCGATAGATACCCCACTGAGGTCCATGTGAGTTCTCCGCCCACATGCACCGGCACACGTTGAGCTACGAGAATCGTTGAATGTCGTATTTTCAATGATAGAACTCCACCGGAGATGGTAGTATCGGTCAGATATAGCTCTCTCGCGTGGCTCGCGCTCGCGCCGTAACGGGCCCAGTTCAATATCCCATCTAACAACGGACGTCAAGCGGCGCAGCACGGGTAGCCGGACGAGTCGTCAGATGACGAGAAGACTATCTGAAATGCCGATCGGTCGGGGTCGTTGTAACGTAAGTGAGACGGTCCACAAAAAATAGATTTACTGCGGAGTTTGCCTTCCATGGGAGATTTGCGTTCCGAAATCTGGCTCAGCACAAGCTTCGAGATAAATCTGCGTCCACGAGTAAGGTGCCCCTACTCATGGAAGTGAACACGGTCGGACTGTGTCAATATCTGGAATGTTTTTCTAGTGACACAGTTGCTGAACGCTGTAATGGATAACTCGGAGTCTCATGACCGAAAATCTCTCGATCGCCGTGACGATATGTAATGATTGCATCATTATCTAGATCAGCTTCGAGTCGTGAAAAGGAATCAATGAAATCAATAAAAAAGGGGAGGTACCGTACAAGAAACTGTTGAGAAGGTATCAACTCCCTCAGCTTGTAAATGAATAAGAGCCTTCTTCCTATGTACCTCATTCACTGTGTAATCTAAGTAATAAGTGCTCTGCTCGGTATACCTGCCTGATAAGTTGTAGACTATCAGCTTCCGTTAATCATCTAAGCTGTCAGATTTTGAGTTATAACCCATGAGCTCGACTGATCAAGTGATAACTGATTGTAAGCTATAATTATAAGTACGTGCATCGAGGATAACTTCGCTTTTCAGAGTCGATTGTACCTTCTTCATAGCAGCTGAGCCAAATTCCCAAATAATGCACAGCCTACTATAGTTCCTCTTATCATCTCAACAATGCGACGCTGATGATCTCCCTTCACATAAATCACATGCAAGCATCTGCTTCACGTAATTCGTTCATCTCGTGACAAACACGATCGAACCACTCAAAATGTCCAAGTCATCGCTAAAGTAGGGCCAACTGAAGAAGGAATCAGGAACATTCCTTGCATCGGCACAGCTCCAAAGCGTTCAGGCGCATGATGTATTCGACTGCGTGTCTCGAGCTGCATTCAAATGGGAAGCCGTCAAGATACTTTGAGACGGCCTTTTGTCTGATGCGCCACGCCTGCCTATGCGACAAATTTTATCACAACCTTAGCAATACGCTCGATGCTTCCAAAATCTGGCAGCATGAGACAGTCACCGGCCATTACTCCCTCTCTCAAGGGTTGGGTAACGATCTTTCAAGCGTAAGTCGAAGATCACGAGCATCGAAGCCACTAGGCGGCTGATCGTCGAGTTCATGGGCGCTATGTGGACACAGCTATGTCCGTTCAGCCTTGTCCCTATGCCGGAGCTCACTTTACTGCGACCTTTCAGGATCACCAGGCCGGCAGCTATGGACTTATTATGTAGGTTGAGAGAGACTCGCGCAGATACAATATGTCCTGACGATCATCCAACATCCATGATCCGGTGAATGTCTGGACCCGGACTCCTAAACGCTAGGCTCTACGCCCAAGACTCTGCCAAACTTCAAGTGGTGGTAGTTTCGGAGG